TCCAGAAGGAACGTCTGACTGGGGAGAGGGGACGCTGCCAGGGGGGGGGGGGGTCCATGAGTGACTTCCCACAGCTCCAGGGGCTTTGGCTTTGACCTCCTTGTAGGGCTCGACATGCCCTCACTTGCCCCCCCAATGGCCTAGAGGTGGGGGCCTTGGGGGCTGCAGCCTCTTTCCATCCTCCTCCCCATTTGGATTTTCTTCTCCATTATAGCTCAGTTGGCTCCAAACTGGATTTTAGTGGAGGCAGAGATTGCCGCAAGAGTACAAGGCCCCGGGGAGGGATGAGGACCAGTGAGGCCTCTAAAGCAAAGATAGGAGCCTTGAACCCTTGGGCTTGACCATCCAGATGGAAGCAGTAAGATCAGGTGGCGTAACTGACTTTGGCAGGTCCTGGATGGAAGTCCTTTGAAGGAAGAGAAATAAAGGCTATATAGAATGATTGAGCACCAATATGCTCGTACTAAACATACTAGATAGTTTAAACATATCATATACTTTAACAGCTTTGTGAAATTATAACCTTTTAAGTATTAGATAGTTGAGACTCAAGATAGGCGTGGCAATTTGCCCACAGTCATAAAGCTTGGAATCATGAAGTCTGTTTTTCAGATTTTATTTGGGAAAAAGTAGTAAGGAGAGGCAGAAGAAAAAATGGCTGTCTGTTAATAAGTTGCAATAAGGTGCCAAGCATAGGACTTTGCAATGGTCTATGCTCAGTAAATGTGATGATGAAACATGTAGATGAGGATGGTTTAACTGGAGATGAGACTGCTGCAGGATCTGGTTTCCACTGAATCCCTAGATTTCAGGGTGTGGCTTCCTTCTTTGGCAGCCCCACAATAATGATGTCTTGGGGTGCCTCTGGATCTAAGTGGGTTTAGGAAATGTCTTTCTCTAGGTGTGGTCTTTGACAGGATTTGCCCTGGGAAACTAGAAGGAATCCCTTCAGAGGATGGAATGTCCTGGGGCCACCCTCCCTGCTGCAGAATCTTTGAGGGAAAGGAAGGAGACGGGCTCTCTTCTAGGAAGCATGTTGCACACTGTCCTTGTGGCCCTCTGACAACATGCACCTGTGGACATTGGTCCACACATACCATTCAGGACACTTTTGCCCCATGGAGACTGCATGAGGAGGAGGGCAGGCAAGGTGCAGAGCCAAGGAAAGCTTGTTGGGAGTCTGTTGGCTGGAGAATGCAAAGGGTCTGTGCCTGACATAGTGGTGCCCCCTCATCTCACCCCTTGATGTTTTCATTCCCATTGAATCCTAAGGGTTCAGCTTTGGGCCCAAGGATGGACTCTGGTGTCTTGCCCAAAAATTGAGTGGTGAGAGGTCCAAGCAATGGAATTTGCCACAGACCCATTCTGGAGTTTTCCTATTCCCTCTCCCTCTTCCACACAGCCAGACATGGTGATATCCTTCTTGAATAGGGATTACATAGTGAGAAGAGAGACCAAGCTAGTTAGAAAACAACAACTTAATTTACCAGTTGTTGGATTTTTTTTTTTTAACTCAATAATGGCTGCCTGAAGGATGGGTGTGGTACCCCCTGCACAGCTCAATGGAGTAAACTCTAATAAAGGTTTATATTGGTTAGCCCTTCCCTATTATAAAGTTGCTTATAATCCCCTTTCCCTTCAAACCCTCTCATCAGCTTAACAAACCAAAACAAACAGGGTTTTTTGTTTTTTTAAAAAAAATAAAGAAGGAACAATCCTGAAAATATTGTCTTTGCTCCAATTCAGAGATTTATCACTGAGGTTTTATCCCTAAATTGTTCTTTTCACTGACAATGCTTAGAATCACACCCACTCATGACCCTGGAAAAATCACCTCATGGATCCAGGTTCTCCACAGATCTTGGTACCTTGGATATCGCTTCCTCAATGTCCAGCATTGGATAAACATTAAGATTCCAAAAATCATAAGAATATTGCCTGACTATCCTCAGTCACAGCATGAGTCTGCAAATCAAATCACTTCAGAGTGTGCATGAAAGATGTTTCCAGGTAGCCTTAATCTCCTCAAAAATGCTCTCTCCTAAGGGAAATAAAAGGGGAGAGAATGGTTCACTCAGTTTGATTTGAGTGTACGCAAATGTGTCTGGATTTTACTGTCTGGATTTCTCAACCTTTGATCTTCCACATAGTCTCTGACCACATTCGTATGACTTTCTTCTTCCAACATTTGCCATATTTTTTATAGTGTTTCCTTTTCCTCAAACATGGATAGTAAGACCTTCCCCAGCCCGGCCCGTTTCCCACACTCCTTGCATTTTTTCCCCCACTACTCCCGTTCCTAAGTGGATCATATTTATGCAAACAGTTTCCCCTCTCTTTAGCTACAGAATCTATTATCTTTCAGTCCCCGTGCTTCTCTCCAGCTTGGTTTCTGCTATCTTCATTTCCCAAATTGATTTATTCATTTCTGATGGGAATATCATTATGCACTCCATCCTTCAATCTTAATGACCATGTTCTGACAGGAATTGCTTACCAGCTTTGGACCAAGAAAGTCAGACCATCAGTGTCCAGCTGGAGACATGATTATTTTTTCCATTACCACTTCTCCCTCCATTCTCCCAGGCTTTCAGCAATCCCCTCAGAGACCCACATACATTTACTAAGTGCTACTTACTTGCCAGGCAGTATGCTAGATAAATATCAGAGTTCCCTGTCCTTGAGGAGTTCACACAGAATCAGTCTGCATTTCTCTAACCATTTACTATAAAGAGTAGAAAAAGTAAAGGGGAAATTACAGCTTTACAGAGTATCTTCAGGAGTCAGTGTGGAGTATGTCTTTTCCCAGGCATCTCTGAACCTCAGCTGCTGTTCCATACCTCCTCTGGCAGCCACGTTGAGCCCTCCTGGCATTGCCCTGCCAAATTACTTTTGCCCATATGCTTTGAGTATGAACTGGGCACATTATTTTCTTCCAAGGATAATAATGACAGAACCTTTTACTTGGATAGCATATTACAGCTTACAAAGACCTTTTACATACATGACCTTTGTTCGGTTTTGAGAAAGATTTCATCTTTCTAGGGTCTTCTCACTAAAACAGCATTATGTGGGCTAACTGGCTTATTCTCTTTTTGTTTGTCTTTTGAGGCTTCTGAGCCTCCCAGAGGGAAAGCCCTAGAGTGATTCACTACAATCACCACCTACCAGCTCTTAGGTTGTGTAGAATAGTTTCCTGTTGGGTCCTAAGGCCAAGCAATGCCCCCATTGGTCAGCCCTGGAACTTAAGGGGATCCTTCTTCCTGGCCTTGCACATCCAATTATGTGGGTTTTTTTTTTTTTTTCTCCTTGAAATTCAAATACATATTCTCTTCTAACAAATATTTTCAGCATACTATCTCAAACTAGTTCTTTGGGCTGATGCTAATTCTTATGTGAAGGCAGGTTTCCTTGCCTATTTCTATCTAGTACCGGGCTGGATTCATACCATCTAAGTCATGATGAAGTCCCCATATAGCTCCATGCCTTGGCATGTGCTTTTACCTCTTCCTGGAAGGCCTTTTTTTCCCTTATCCACTGGGGTAACTCCCACTCATATTCAAAATTTAGCTCAAGCAACACCTTTTTTTTCAGTCCTACACGTATGCCCCCCACACACGCACATACTCACTGCATTCTCACAGGCTGATTGAGTTCCATTTGTTCCTTCTATCAGCAGTTATTCAGCACCTGATCTGCTTCGACACATAATAGGCTGCACTCAGCAAATATTTGTAGAATCAACAAATAACTAAATGGTAATGATTAAGTTGTAATAACTGCATTAAATGGAGCTGAATCTGTGCTTTAGGGACCCAAAGCAGAACACAAGGAGTGCCTCTCCATCTTGCTGTAAAGCTCTGCTTGCTAAGTGCAGTCACACCAGCCAATCACTGATAGTGTGATGTTCCTTAACTGTTGCTCTGCTTCTGTGGGAAGTCAGCTTCGTGGCTTTTAATGAAGACTCAGCCCAAACCCCCA